TATAGTGACGTGATTATCACGTCGCAACAGACAATGTTTTGCCACATGATAATCATGTCACAAAAACACTTTGTAGGGGAGAATATTTCTTGTAGTGCTCTCTCTCTCTCTCTCTCTCTCTCTCTCTCTCTCTCTCTCTCTCTCTCTCTCTCTCTCTCTCTCTCTCTCTCTCTCTCTCTCTCTCTCTCTCTCTCTCTCTCTCTCTCCTCTCTCTCTCTCTCTCTCTCTCTCTCTCTCTCTCTCTCTCTCAGACACACACACACACACGCAAAGAGTATCTAACCCTAAAAATTAATATTTTATTTGACCGAAATAACTCAACGATCAAAATCCACTATTTTGGAACAACATAGAGGTCCCCACCCTAAAACTCCTAAATTCCTAATTTTTCTATTTTATTTGATTTATTTTCCATTTTCATATATTTTTTTAAAAATTCGAAATATTTTGTAGACACTTAGTTTAATTTTATTTGATTTTTAGTTGTATTTTTAAATTTTTATAACAGAGTAAAATTCGGAAATGCATATCTGAAACTACTTTTTTCATAAAAAATAAGGTTTGTTCGGATATACATATCCGAAAATATTTTTTCATGAATTTTTATGGATTTAAGATCCGTTCAGAGATGCATATATAAAAATAGAGGACATTTTTAGAATTTCGCCAAAGACGTTCCAAAAAAATATAAAAGTGGAGAAAGATATTCTCAACTTTTAAGCCGGAACTCTTAAACTCTTACCATATCGTTACAAGATATAAAGGTTTTGTATATTGTTATTATAACAAAAAAATCTTGAACGCATGAGATCCTCGCTAGAGCAAGATTTTGATATTTACATTTTGAAATGACAAGTAAAGCCAAAACACACAAAGAGTATCTAACCATATCATGAAAAAACATGAACACCTCTCTAATAGGAAGAGTTGTTATTAGATTCAACGTAACAATATATAAATATCCATAACACTTAAATTAAAATCTAGGTAAGGGCAAAATGTAAAACAGTAATAAATGATTTCATCATTTGAATATCAAATTTTCAACTCAATTAACATACATGTGCTTCTTATTAGCCACATAGCTATTTTCTAAGAACTTGTTGAGCTATTTCTTTTCAATAGATTTGATTGTATCTTTAACATTATTTCTCATCTCACGACCATCAGCTCGTATAATAGCATAATCATCCAAAAAAAATTCAGTAGGCCGCATGATCCTATCTCAGTTACAGCTCCATATCAGCTTGCCTCTTCGCCATGACCTCCATTTTTCGTTGTTGCTCTTGCCTTATTGCCTCCATTTGAGCATCCATTTGGGCTTTCATTGTCGCCTCATGTTGCACTGACTGGCGTCTCGCCTCATTTAACGTCAACTATCTTACTGTTTCAAGTTGTTCTGGTATCAAATTTGGTTGATGTGACCCTCCTTCCCCATCTCTAACTCTTTGAAATAGAATTCTATCCCCACTTCTCAAGGTGTCCGCCAAATTTATAACACCAAACACTGATCAGGAACATTCCAATTTGACTTGGCCGCCAATAATCTCACAGACGTTGATAAGTTTGAGTTTGAGGATTACTCTAACAATGGTGTATTCATCTCATTCAACAACTGATAAAATCTCTGCGCTTCCTCATTTGGCAACTCTTCCCCATCAAAATCTTCAAGTTGATCATATGTCACTGTGATACGGTGGGAGAACTGACTTGAGGTTTGCGTTTGTATTCGCAAATGTTGCGGTTAGCAAGAGTCGCCACCGACTTTTTATTTTATCCTAAGGAAAGGTTAAAAAGCACAGCAAAAAACCTTTTGAGATGGTTTCTTGGGTTCGGGGAGTAGATTATAGAAAGGGAAGGTATTAGCACCCTTTCTATCCATGGTTATCCATGGGCTCTTAGTTACTTGCTTAGATCACTTGCCTTTTGTTTTCAATTGTTTTAAATGGTGCTTGAATGAGGGAGTTTTGAAAATGTTTTTGAAAAGAGGCCAATGTGGTGGCAACCTTTGTAATGATCCATGTGGGGATGTATACAAAGATGTATGTCTTTTGAAAAGGTTTTCATTTGTTTTTGAAAGTTGTTTTGAAAGTGTGGTGATGTGTGGTTTTTGAAAAGAAGGCAGGTGTTTTGTTTTGCAAGTTGGTTCAAGTAACTAAGAGGTTATCTACTCCTAAATTTCTCAAAAGATTATTGCTATACTTTAACCCTTTTAACAAGTTTGCACCACCATTGTATTTGGTGGGCAACCTTGTGTTAGGATGTGAAAGGGACAGGCGCGGGTCATCGTTTAGACCATAATTGTAACGACGTTAAATGTCTTTGGGCAATTTCTCTAAGGGACTTGATCATTTGTTTTGTTTGTTTTGAAAAGTTTTATCGAGGGACTATGATCATTCAAACTGTTTGCTTTGCCCAAAGATGTTCAACATACAATATGGCCCATTTATTTGAAGGCAACAAGTGGAATACCCTAGGGGGTGCAAGTGTGATTTGTGTGTCCATTTTCATGCTTGTTTGTCTTGTATTAGGTCAAACTATTTTTTATCGTTTTTTCGCATACAAACCCTAATTCTAGCATGTTATTATTTAGAAAGCAATAAAGTGCGAAATTAAAATTACTAAGCTATTACACAACCAAATATGGGAAGGGGGGTACAAATGTTCAAATGGGGATATAGACAAGAATTTAAATCTAGATTATTACAACAATTGGATATTTGCATAGTAAATAAATTGCATAATTTAAATGTAAATAAAATAAATATGTAAAATGTAAAAGAGGAAAGTTTATTTTTTGTGTATGAGAAAATATTTATGTAAAAGGAAAAAGAAATAAAAATGTATTTATTTTTTAGTATTTTGAAACTTAGGGTAAGAAACCCTAATTTTTATATAAAAAGTATTATTATCTAATTTAATTCTACTATTTATTTATTATGTACAAAAAATAAAATAAAATGAAGTATTTTGTGAAAAAAGGTATTTTTGTATCAAATATTAATAAAAATGAAGAAAATCAAGTATTTTATATTTTTATCTTAAATATATTAATAAACATGTATATATATATATATTAAACCCTAAATGAGTATTATACAAAATAAATATTTATTTAATATTTTAATAAAATAAATAAAAGTATTTTTTGTGTGAAATATTTTCAGAAAGTAAAAATAAAAATAAAAATGTATCCACATTATTTTCTATTTATTTTAATAATAGTGTATATATATATTTGTATATAAATAAAAGAAATAAACAAACAAATATGCCATAAATACAAAAAATGATGGAAAAAATATTTTAAAAATTTTAATGGCATGAGAAAAAATAAACAAAGTCAACCCAAAAAGAAAAAGTCAAAAATGTTGAAAAATAAACAAATGGGCTCAGGGGGTGTAAACCAAAAAAATGGGGTGTGAAAAGGAAACAAGTCCAGGCCCAGCCCAGATCACTTCTTCTTCAACCTCTGTACATCTTTCTTCTCACAGAACACGCGTTTTCTAACTCTGGATTCCTGGACTTTCAAGCAAAACTCATAACATGAAAAGTGTAGAGCATTAAGAGACGGTTTCAACCATATAAAGAACATGACCTATCTCTCCAAGATGAGAGAGAATTTCTCTCCCCCTCTTTTCTGACCTAGTTTTTCTACCATTTTCAGAGCTAAAATTCTCTTCACTCAGACAAAAGAAATGAAAAGTAAAGCTATGTACATGTTCAGGGCTATGAGTAGGACTTTGTTTCTTCACAAACTTAAGACTACATATGCCTAATAAGAGAGATACGAATTCAAACTTTTACCTGTGCAGTTGAACTTCTATGTGGAGAATGAGAGACTTTCAGTGCAATGTGATGATTGGAAAAGCTTCCTTGAAGTCCAGGGATGCTTTTTCAATGCTCACTTTGTCTTGAAACTTCTTGTATCAAGCTATAGAACTTCACCTGCAAATCAAAGATGTGAAAATGGTGGAAGTGGTTAGAGCAACTACAGATCGTGCCTTTGCTTCTGGATAGCTTGCATATGTTGTAAGGAAGGTAGAGGAACAGGTTTGGACAGAAATGCTTGAAGGGATTGAGAGATTGCACTCAAACTGCAGGGGCATCCCTGTTTGTGCAGTTTGAGGATGATTCTGAGATGAAGGGTGTTTGAAAGGGAAATGGCTCGTGCAAAAGCTTCAATGTGGTCTATGGAATGTGTTTGATATATTTTGTGCTGTGTTTTTTGACTGATATGAGAGATAGCATAAGTTATGGATGTTACTTCTATGTGAAGCAAGCAAATGTCAACTTGGTTTCTAGGCCAGTACAATGCCTCAATCTATGCTGCACCTTTGAATCTTGATCAGTGGGATATGCCTATGCTTTTTTGCTTCAAAGATCTGCATTGTACTTCATAGATTTGCAAAGTTGCCATAAAGTATCACTTTACAAGAATGGATAACATGCTTTTTCTAGTTTAGGCTTGATTTTGTGTGTATTATCCAAATGAGCAAAATAATGTTAGAACACAAAGGATATGCATTGAATTATTGAGTGAGAATGGGATTAGAGGCCTGCAATGTAGCTTAAGCATGCTGAATTCAAATTTGCCAAGTTTATGAACATGCTTTGATGAAGAACAAAAGTGAATTTTTGCCAACTTGTGAAATTCGAATCTCTCAAGTTATGAGGTTGTTTGATGAGTTCTTGGACATTTTGGAAAGCTTGTAATGTGTACTACAATCCATCTTTGAAATGCAATTTGAAATTCCAAGTGGAAGGGTATTTAACCATATCATGAAAAAAACATGAACACCTGTCTAATAGGAAGAGTTGTTATTAGATTCAACATGACAATATATAAGTAGTCATAACACATAAATTAAAAGCTAGGTAAGGGAAAAATGTAAAACAGTAATAAATGATTTCATCATTTGAATATCAAAATTTCAACTCAATTAACATACATGTCATTCTTATTAGCCACATAGCTATTTTTCTAAGAACTTGTTGAGCTATTTCTTTTCAATAGATTTGATTGTATCTTCAACTTTATTGCTCATCTCACGACCATCAGCTCGTATAATAGCAGAATCATCCAAATTTTTTTCAGCAGGCCGCACGATCTTACCAAATAATATTATATAATCAGGTCTAACTATTTCGGTGTTGCTGTTGTGGATATCAATTAACTTTGTTTTAGAAGAGTTCAAGTTATCACGGTTATCAAATATATGACCGCTAGTGTTTATCTCAGTTGGCACATTATTAGACCCTTTCATTAAACTTTTCTCAAATGAACTATCTTTCAAAGAGTTGGGTGTAGTTGATGTGGAAAAATGATTTTGCCCGTCTCTTAGTATGCCATCAAAATTCAAAAGTGTTTGGTTCAAGGGTTCCAATGAAACCATTGAAACTGAAGAAGTTCTCTTTGTATCACTTAATAAGCCAAACTCTTGAGAAACTCTTAGCCGTTTTGTTGGAGGGAATAGTTGATGCAGTAAAGGTATGTCAAAATCAGGTTCAATTTGCCACGGATTTACATATTTTAGATTCTCCGAAACGTTGAGTTCATCCCATTTAATCTATAATAATGAGATGAAAATAGTAATATTTCAATACAAAGCTACTACTTTCATGAAAAAAATTATCTAATTATTGAAAATCATGTACCAAACTTGAATGTTAATATTTATAAATTTGAAATATTATAATAAAGTAAAAAGAACAAAACATTATATTTACCTCTAGCATGCACCATGGATGAGAATGGGAGATTGCAGATATTGTCCCATGAAAAGTTGAACGTCCCTTCACTTTGTGAGTAACTCTCATTCCAGTTTTCCAATCAATCTTCATTGCATCCTCAAAAACTTTATCTCCCACCACAAAATCAAAACCATCAACCGTTGGATAACACAAGACTTCAAATGGTGTATTCTTCACAGCCAATTCTACTGCATTGATAACCGCCTGGTCGGTTATTTTATTAGGGGCACCGAACATATTTTTGCGGCGGATTCCAACAAATATCTCTCCAGCTGAGTTTTTAATGAAAACAAGGGTATCCCCACCGACGAGTTGCTTCTTGTCAACAAATGCACTCCAGCCAGTGGTGAATAAGTGTCGCTTGGGATTCCCGCGATAGACGTGGGAAAAGGTCCAGACAACACCGCAAACATCTGTGACGGAGAGTTCTTGAGACGGCAATGAAGTAGTCAAGTCAAGCTGCGGAAAGATTAATTTGGCGCAGGCCTTAGGTACAGAGAATGCACCTCCATTGTTAGCATCAGAAATAGTTAGAGTCTTGGCACAGGAAACAACATGATCACCATTGTCTTCTTCATTGATAACCTCGAGAGGAACAACAGTTGCGTCAATGACGGGAGTGAGGAGTAGTTTTGCAAAGATTTGATCAGTTTCAGGATCTGCAAGGAGATCAACAGAGGAGACTGTGCAAATAATGAATGGACTGAAGAGGGAGGGTGCTTGAGTGCTAGGGGTTTTAGGACATTGTTCTAAATGGCCTATTGGAAAATAATATACTTTAGAATGGAGTTTCGGAATTGTGAAAGAATCTCCAGCAAATTCTAGCCAAATTGTTGGGTCTACATTACGGAATTGTTGTTGTGAAGCCATAGCGAAACTTAGCTAGTGAAAAAGTTGTGAGAGTGTTTTTGAAGAAGAGAGCATCAATAAGGTTTTCTATTTATATAATCATATATTATTTAGATTATTTTTTAAATATTAACAGTGATTATAACAACTTTTTTCATAATATATGTTTTTACGCCATTGGCAATTTGTGCGCCATGTATCTAGAAAATATATTATTATTAATATTATAATAATCATATTATTATTTAGATTATTTTTTAAATATTAACAATGATTATAACAACTTTTTTCATAATATATTTTTAATTAAGTAATACATTTTTTTTAGTTTTTACGCTATTGGCAATTTGTGCGCCGTGTATCTAGAAAATAACTAATCTTTTTTATATTCCAATATGCCATAGATTATCACAGGAGAGTAGAAATAATAGCTCAAATGCTCAATATTTTACAATCATCACAGTTTTGAACTGCCACATCACCAAATCCATTACATATTGAATGTTATTTGGATAGGTGGACTAATGTTGTAGAAATTTTAAAATGAGGATCTCATGGATTTAGGGTTTATTTTAAAAATAGTTTCAATCAAATCAAACTAATTACACTCTTAAATAGAAATATCCGTTGAATTATCGAAATTATAATGAATGTCCAATGAATAGTCTTCCGTTATTATGTGATGAGTGTGATATTCATATTTGTGGAGGTATCTATCAAATAAATATATGTGTATTTTAAAATATTTAGAAATATCCATGAATACTATTAATTAAGTAATTATTTTTAAAATAAAATTTATTTATCTTATTTTTAAAGACAGAAATAATTTTAAATTTAGAATAAAATAATAACAACAAAAATAAATTACATCAATTTTATTTTCTTTTTTATGACATAATTATAGGCGACTGGCTTGTGAGGGGGTGGATGACAGACAAGGTGACAGGCTGACCGTCATGAATATCGTTTATCGATTCTGAACAGTCGATTCAGATATCTATGATGTTTTTCATGTGCGGCTGATGTTTTGATATTGTTTTGATGTGTTTGATGAGTTTAATTATTGTGATAAAATATTATGTTGAGTAAATAATATTTGGAATGTGTGTATAATTATATGAGGAGTTATAATTATATGTGGTTGAGGTTAAGATGTGTAGTTCGAAGTGAGAACCACTGTAATTGCCTAATATGTTATTGTGTATGATTCAAAGTGGAACCAGGTGGGTTGATGCACCTGTATATTATGATTATATTTCACGCTTCATGTGTGTCTGTGTTGAGATTGTTGGTGCACAAAAAAGAGATGAAAGACAAAAGAAATATATTTAATGACGGCTACAAAAATAAGGAATAATAATTTACACAAAATAAAATCCTAAATATCGTCTAACAAAGATATAAAAAGATATTCCTAAAATATAAATTAATATCTAAAAGATATTTCTAAATTAATTCCTAAAATATAAATTAATTCTAACATCATCCCTTAATTTATATTTACACAAAACTGACAACACCAAATCCATCCCTCAAATAAAGAAATTGATCAGTCTTGATAGCCTTTGTTAGAACATCTGTCAGTTGCTTCTGGGTGATACAGTGCACAACTTCTAATATTCCATTCTAAACCTGATTCCTCAGAAAGTGGTACTTGTTTTCAATATGCTTGCTTCTCTCATGCAGCACTGGGTTCTTGGCAAGATTGACTGCAGACTTGTTATAAATCATAAGCTTCAGAGGTTTACTTACCTCAATCTTCATATCTTTCAGCAAGTTCAAAATCCACAGAGCTTGGCATGCAGTCAAAGCGCATGCAATATATTCAGCTTCACAAGATGACAGTACAACAATAAGTTGCTTCTTGGAACACCAAGAAATAGAACCTCCCAGAAATTTGAATAAGTACCCAGAAGTATTTCTTCTGTCAACTTTATCTCCCCACCAATCAGAGTCTGAATAACTCAGAAGTTCTGATTTGATTTTTCTTCCAGACGGAAATAAGACTCTATACTTCAGAGTTCCCTTCACATGCTTCAGAATCCTGACATCAGCTTGATAATGAGACCACTTTGGTTTACTCATAAATCTTCTAACCATTCTAAGTGTATAGCAAATATCAGGTCTAGTATTACACAAATACCTCAGAGAATCAACCATCTGTTTGAAGGTTGTAGCATCCATATCCTCTCCATCAGAATCAGAGTTCAACTTCTGATTCGTATCAGCAGGTGTGATAGCAACTTTTCAATTCTCTAGCTTAAATCTCTTCAGAAGCTCAAGTTCATACTTCTTCTGATGCAAAATGATTCCTTTCTCAGAGTATATAAATTCCATCCCTAGAAATAAACTCATTTTCCCAAGATTTGTCATCTCAAGCGCATTCATCAAAACTTTCTTGAACTCAAATATCTCTTGTTCAGAACTTCTTGTGAGTAATATGTCATCAACATACAAACAGACCAAAATCATACTACCTTCTGAAGTCTGTTGAACAAAAACACCCTACTCCATCTCACACTTCTGAAACTCTTGTCCCTTAAAAAGAGAATCAATCTTCAAATTCCAAGCTTTGGGCGCTTGCTTCAATCCATACAAGGCTTTGTGTAATTTGAACATCATCCCCTCCTAATTATTTTTCTCAAATCTAGGAGGTTGTGATACATATACCTCTTCTTGTAATGGACCATTCAGAAATGCATATTTTACATCTAAATGCATCAGAGGCCAATTCTTGTTAGCAGCTATTGCAATCACTAGTCTGATTGTTTCATGTCTCGCTACAGGTGCAAACACTTCAAAGTAATTATAGGCGACATGCTTGTAAGGGGGATGGATGACAGACAAGGTGACAGGCTGACCGTCATGAATATTATTTATCGATTCTGAACAGTCGATTCAGATTTCGATGATGTTTTCATGCACGACTGATGTTTTGATATTATTTTGATGTGTTTAACGAGTTTAATTATTGTGATAAAATATTATGTTGAGTGAATAATATTTGCAATGTGTGTATAATTATATGAGGAGTTATAATTATATGTGGTTGAGGTTAATATGTGTAGTTCGAAGTGAGAACCATTGTGATAGCCTTTGTTAGAACATCTGTCAACTGCTTCTGGGTGCTACAGTGTACAACTTCTAATATTCCATTCTGAACCTGATTCCTCAAAAAGTGATACTTAGTCTCAATATGCTTGCTTCTCCCATGCAGCACTGGATTCTTGGCAAGATTGATTGCAAACTTGTTATCAATCAACAACTTCAGAGGTTTATTTACCTCAATCTTCAGATCTTTCAGCAAGTTCAGAATCTACACAACTTGGCATGCAGTCAGAGCGCCTGCAATATATTCAGCTTCACAAGTTGACAATGCAACAGCAGGTTGCTTCTTAGAACACCAAGATATAAGACCTCCCAGAAATTTGAATAAGTACCCAGAAGTATTTCTTTTGTCAACTCTATCTCCGTACCAATCAGAGTCTGAATAACTCGGAAGTTCAAATTCAATCTTTCTTCCAGACAGAAATAACACTCCATACTTCAGAGTTCCCTTCACATACTTCAGAATCCCAACAGCAGCTTGATAACGAGACCAATTTGGTTTACACATAAATCTGCTAATCATTCCAACTGCATAACAAATATCAGGTCTGGTATTACACAAATACCTCAGAGAACCAACCATCTGTTTGAAGGTTGTAGCATCCACATCCTCTCCATCAGAATCAGAGTCCAACTTCTGACTCGTATCAGCAGGTGTGATAGAAACTTTGCAATTCTCTAGCTCAAATCTCTTAAGAAGCTCAAGTTCATACTTCTTATGATGCAAAATGATTCCTTTCTCAGAGTACATAAATTACATCCCTAGAAAGAAACTCATTTTCCCAATATATGTCATCTCAAACGCATTCATCAGAACTTTCTTGAACTCAGCTATCTCTTGTTCAGAACTTCCTGTAAGTAATATGTCATCAACATACAAACAAACCATAATCATATTACTTTCTGAAGTGTGTTGAACATAAACACCATACTCCATCTCGCACTTCTGAAACCATTTTTATAAAAAAAATATAATTGGACAATGGTATGTATCTAACAAAATTTTAAAGTTATTGAAGTGTTTACCATTTTTATTTAATTGTTTATAAATAAATATATTACTATTAATATTATAATAATCTTATTAGTAATTAGATTATTTTTTAAATATTAACAATAATTATAACAACCTTTTTCATAATATATTTTTAATTAAGTAATACATTTTTTTAGTTTTTATGCTATTGGCAATTTGTGCGCCGTGTATCTAGAAAAAACTAATCTTTTTTATATTCCAATATGCCATAGATTATCACATGAGAGTAGAAATGATAGCTCAAATTCTCAATATTAGGTTGTTGTTCATATTTGGGGTTTTGGTGTTATAAAAATAAACTTAGATTCATGTAAAATTGATGGATTAAGTGTGTAATCAGCGAGTATATGATGCATTAGTCATGGTATGATATGTATGGGTTGTTTTCTAGACGATTTAGGCGACTAAGGATCAAAATGGGAGCTTTGAATGAGCTTCCGTGGCATAAATCATGTTTTTCGTCTTCTGCACAACGGTGACATGCATCACCAGTGTGATGGGCTAATTGTCACGCATCCAGAGAAGCTGGCGGGTGTCAGCTGGATGACATGCTACCCATCATAGTCACCAGGCAAGATTTTCCTGCTGGTCATCAGCTAGGTGACAGGCTTGTGAGGGGGATGGATGACAAATAGGGTGACAGGCTGACCGTCATGAACATCGTTGACCAGTTCTGAGCAGTCGGTTGAGATTTTGATGATGTTTTTCATGTGCGGATGATGTTTTGCTTTTGTTTTGATGTGTTTGACGAGTTTAATTATTGTAATAAAATATTATGTTGAGTAAATAGTATTTGGAATGTGTGTATAACTATATGAGGAGTTATAATTATATGTGGTTGAGGTTAAGATGTGTAGTTCAAAGTGAGAACTAC